CCCCCCCCCCCCCCGTCGACGTTCACTTAGACGAGGTGGGGGGCAGCCTGCGAAGGGGCGCGCCCAGAAGGGTTCGGTGCTAGTCACAGGAAAGTTCGTGGGCAGCCTGGGATCTCTCATGGCTGCTATCTCGGAGACCGAGCCGCACTACATCCGCTGCGTCAAGCCCAACGAGGAGCAGCTGCCCATGTCTTTCCAGGCCAGTGGGGGGGTTGTATACTGCTGTGCCATTTTCGAGTTACTGTCGTTCAACGCCCGTGTGGCGACCCAACGTATTTGTCATGGCACCATAGTACTCTAGCTGCCAATGTCTCTGCAGACGTGTGTTGGGGGGTTCCTTGCCTTCTTCGAGTTTCAGCACTGTCGTTTCACGCCTGTAGCGACGCAAGGTAACTTATCATGTTTTATAGCTGCACGTGTCTTCCTGAGCGACGGGAAGGGAAGGAACCGTTCGAAAACCACACAGCGACGACAACATGTAGCCCGTAGGGACTAACGTAAGACGAGCATCGGTCCACATCGCGGGAACCTCAACAGCCGACACAGACGCGCGCGATACTTGATTCCTCTCACCCTCTTGGTATTGTAACTCATTACCGTTTACGGAATGTGCTAGCTAGTGCTATCGCCAACACTGACGCATGGCTAAAAAGAAAAGGGCAGGCAAGCGCACCTTCCCATGTCCACCCTCCCACCTTGTTACCGCGTGTTCGTTTTTTTGGAATACTGCTTGAGCTCTGGCCCACACCGACACAGTTCACCAATAACAGGGCAGGCACAGGGGGGGGGGGGGGGGGTACTCATAGTCGTGCATGCCGTAGTCGTTAGACCATTAACCTCGCATCCCTACAAAGCCGGGACGGAGCACGCCGGGTTCTCGCCGGACCAGGCTCTGACGTCACTAAGCGCGAAGCGCCGTGAGATATTCGGCGAGTCGCATGAAGGGTGCGCTGCATCCTGCTAAGGGTGTTCGGCATCTTGTGCTTACTTCCTTGCGTACGGATGACAGCTGCGTATGACTTAATTTATTTTCTGGTGCTTTCACTTCCAGAGACAGTTGTAGGCACTGTGTAACTGCCTCGAGGTTGCTTGACCATTTTAACACAACGTGGTGCGATCATCCCCCTTGCGCGGAGTGAGGGTTCTCCACCCCGCACAACATGATCTACTCGACCACCATTATGGTTACCGCCAAAAAAAAAAACAGAGGTAAAAAAAACAAACAGTAACCTAGTTGCCGAGTTCACAAAGTGAATTGACTTGTTTTACAACGTCGTTGCCAAGCGACGAAAACCCAA